GCTTAATGGCCTGCAGTTTGTCGAACTCCGAGTCAAGGCGGAGGTCCCGACCTCTTTGGTTGGCCAACCCCAAATCGCGATTGCTGCCCGCATGATGGAAGGCTTTCATCGTGGACTTCTCCCTGCCCGCCGCGGAGATTTTGATCCGCAGATGTTTTCCTACCCCGGACTCTGTAAGGGCACGTTTCGCCTCCTGCTTCCTCTTCCCCTCCAGTCTGCTGGACTTTTGCACGCCGCATTGTGTCGTCTCCGCACGGCGGCCACCACCCGGGGTTGGGAGCTCAGTGCCGTTGTTGTGTTCTGGCTACGCGGCCCTCGGAAAATGGACTTCTACTTCCCTGTCCGCCTGTGGCGCCTTGCCCACTTCGATGCACGGGACGTTCGAGCTCAAGTTCTGATCAATCACTTAGTGGCACAGGAAGCTAATCGGGGGGTTCTGCCCAACGGTGACCAACCGTGGTCTCGCCTCGGACACACGCGGGGGCAAGACGAGTGGCGTGCGGCGGCCCATGCTTTCATCGAGCAGGGCGGACTTGGCCCGGGCATCCGAATCCCGTTCATTTCCAACGATCTTATGCCTCACCTTCATGAACCGGACCTGGACACCCTCCAGTACGGTTTTCACCGCCTCAAAGCTTTGTATGGTGCGGGCCAGTTTCAATCGCTATACCTACTACGGGAATCCCATTTTCCAACAAGTGGCAACGACATGCAGCGTAAGCTTGATGAATGGCCACCTGTTGAGGAGAGTCTCCAGTGACCTTGGACGCATGAAATGCTCAAGGTCCAACCTTTCGACATACGTCGACGGGTCACTCCACTGCCGATGGCCTGGACTTTGGACTTGTGGGTTCGGCGTGTCCGATCGGGACGCAACAAGACCTCTGGGTCGGTTCGACGGCACCTGGACTCATTAATTCCTCAAGGTCCAACCTTTCGACATACGTCGACGGGTCTTTCCACTACCGATGGCCTGAAATTGGACTTGTGGACTTTGGTGTGCACGATCGGGACACAACAGGACCTCGGGGTCGTCCGTTGTTCGAAGGAACTAGAACGGCGGCCGGAGCCTTGATTTGGGCTCCACTGACGGTCTTGGGCAACTTTGGGCGACGGCCCTCTGTTGTTGTTGAACGATCGCTGAGGACCCGTAGCATATGCTGAACGGTTAACCCCGGCAAAGCCTGGGCACCGCAGCTAGCTCCGCTTTCTCCAATTAGGTACCTGTTTCACCGCTGTTTTGTTTGTGTTTGGTGGTTTGTTCGTTTGTAGGGACCGAGTGCTACAGCCGTAGTCGACGAGGCCCGTGCAAGCCAAAAAACCAATTTTTGCAGACATAGACCTTTCAACATGTTGGAGTGCAGGTTCATGTGCGTGCTATGGCTGTGTTCTCCGTGTCTTGCAGCTTGAAATGAGAGGCAGCAATGCATCTAAGAAACATGTTGAAATTGCTTCGTTTTATCGAGAACGGCGTTTTGGAGGTTGCGAAAGCGGCGCTTGCCCAAGCGCACATCATGATGCGACCGTTGTTGACACCGTTCTTGTGGTAGTGCTTTTGGTGGTCGCGCAGTTGTTGGTTTCAACTCAAAATTCGTAAAACCTGGACAACATACGGGAATAATGATGTCCATGTTGTCGGCCGTAACTAGAACACTCTGGATGCGGAGATGTTGTAAGTTGCACTGATGCTTGAAGGCAATCCGTGCTTGAGAACGAACGACAAAGCTGACCGTTGGCTTGGACGTCGCAGCGTACATCCGCTTGTGTACGCAAGTGTGCTGCGTTTCGTAGGTTCGCTTGTTGAAATGCCAGGGAGCGCTGGCGATTCGGCCGCGAGGGCCTCGCCAAAGCCGCAGTCGCAGCACGTCTGCGTCTCAGGATCGAAATCCTTGGAACCCGGACTCGCACAGATGGCGTTGAGCACAATTTTCAAGCTGAATTGGACATTGTATGTTGTACGAATACCACGCATGTGTCAAAAAATTGTTCATGCCAGTTCGCACGCTTTGAGCGGTAGTGAATCACAATTTGCGGCTGCTGTCAATGTAGACAGTTTCAGTCTGCGCGCTTTGCTCGTGCGCGCTTTGCTCGTGTGCGCCGTCGGTTGCAGCGCCTTCGTGCAAGCCGATCTTGTCGTCAAAACGTGCCCGAGACCGCCCTTCGCCAATGCCATTTGGGCAAGACCCTTGGTTGTGATAGCATTCATTGTGAAGCCCTCGCAATTGGATTTTGCACATCGCAATATTGAATTTTCTGGAGTTGCATCGTGTCGATAACTGTGTCCCTTCCATTTGGAAGCATGGCATTGCCGTTCGAGAGAAAGTGCAAACTCCCCTGACCGGAACGATGACCGCCACATCACGTTGACATGCTGCTTTGCCAGGTTGCGTGGGATGTCGAGGATGGTATTTGCCAAGGAGCTGTTCTCACTGGTTTTTTTCAACATTTTCATTAATGGTCTTGCCGCTGCAATTCAGCCAGCATGCAACGGGGTTAGTCGTGGTTTGTTGGGGGAAATCGTAAACGTCAAACTGCTTCTGTATGCGGTGGATGACATTGTGATTTTGAGTGAAAGCACCGCTGACTTGCGGCGAACGCTTGACGCAGCTCACGCTTGGGCATTGTTTTGCGGTTTCTTCTTGGTGTCGGTTCCAAGAAATCTGCAGTCATGGTATCAGAACGTGGTCGCGGACGCGCTCGTGCACTTGCCTTCTCCTTGGGTGGTCAAACGTTGCCTCGTGTTGCGTCTTACACCTCGTTGGAGGTTTCGTTGCGTGAAAATTGAGAGGGCATTAATGAACATTTATCTGCACGTGGTGAGCGAAAGATGGCAGCTTGCCTGTTTTGGACCAAGTCCACAAACCTGCCCCTTTCATTTGTGGAGCGCATGTATCCGACGTATGTGCATCCTTCCATTTGCTTTGGCTTGGAATTTGTTTCGGCAGGCCCGCAGATAACACGACTTCAAACGCGTCCTTCAGCAGATTCGGCGTCGTCTACGTTGGCCAGCAGCTGGAGACATCTTGTGACGCGTTGTGTTCGTTGGCGCTGTGTGCCATGCAGCTGCCGATTGTGAGATGTGACCTGAGCCGTAGCGTCGTTGTGAACAACAATGTGAGTCATGTACATGATCACAGCTTCGTTTACGTTATTCTTTGCGTGCTTGTTGTTGTATGCTCGACAACTGATTGTTTAGATGATGTCAGCATTTTTCACATTCTGACCACAGCTGTTGGTCGTTCAAGAATAAGTTCATTATGTTTGTTAATGCTCACTTGAATCATTCGTCTTAACACATCACAAACCCTTTGCCGCCCCGATATTCCTAGACAAATCTTGTGTACGAGGGCAACCCTCCGTAATGGCCCTGTGCCGCAGCGACATTGCACTCGCTTGCGGGTAGGAGCTTCAGCAGGGAGGCGGCGAATGTTCTAGCGTGCTCTGTTGTGAAGCAGCCAAGGCGTGGGCCCGCCGATGGTGGAGCATGCTCTCCGTGGCCGTCCAAGAAGCCGTCGGCCACACAGCGCTCGGGCGTGCCAGGGCCATGCCGCGACCGGCGCATACCGATGTGCCGGGCCTGGATGAGGTCTTGGACTTGGCCGGGCCGGACGGGCTGAGCCGCCTGCCGCTGGGATGAGTCGGCCCTAACAGGGTACCGATTTTTTTCTTCAGTGCTTTTGGAGCCGGACACAGCCGCTGGCGGAAAAAGGTGTGTGGAAAAGAACAACCAAGCAAAGCCACAAACAATGCTGGCACTCAGTGCTGTTTCCGCTTTGCATACTCGCACATGCTGCACGAGTTTGTGAGAATGCCGAAACCCTCCTAGCCGCAACCAGAAAGAAGATGCAACCGGGCCAGTGCGCTCACGTGAAGCTTCACCCGCACCGGGGGATGGCTCCCCAGTGCTTTCAAGTCCTCATCCGACCGGTGGTGATGGCGGTCCCCATGGCTTGCGCGAGCAGGAGCTGTGCCGTGCTTGCCTCCTCCTTTACCTCGTCCGGCGCCTTCGTTGGGCGGCTGCGCTCCATTCGGCGAAACTTTGGGCGCTCCGCCTCGGCTGGTGATGCTGCAAGTGAGGACGGTTACACTGCGTCGACGACGATGTTGTTCATTAACCCCACGACGTTTGACGTGAAAGTGGGGGCCGAAGACAGCAGCTGCAGGGCGCAAGATTAGGATATGAGCAAAGCGTGATGGGGTTGGTGCATACCTTCACTTTTTTCGTTTGTGTCCCAAACAAGATCGATATTGAAATAAAGTTTTTTCCGCCCGTCACCCTCCAAGGCTGAACTAAAATTGTTAATTGTTGGGAATACCGAGAGGCACCTCGGGCGGCCACGCCGCTCAGGTACGACTGGCTTTCCCTGTGGCACGGCGCGGCACACAGCAGGCGGTCGACGCCACTGAGGCTGCAAACTGGCTCCAGGTGCTAGCAAAGCACCGTGCTGCCGATGTCCCCGCAGCTTTGCGGACTCTTTGCCCTCGCCGCCCTGGCAGCCTTTTGCGCGGACTCCGTTCGGCTGGATTTGCGCACGCCGATCTGCGAAGGAGCCGCAAGCTGCATCGTTCGCAGCGTGCCGCCGCACCCTGGCGCCATCTGGCGTCGTACCGGCGTCGGCGAGGCGGATACCTCCGGGCCTACTGCAGTCTGCAGTGGGAGATGGTTCCGCACCGCACGGGGAGGCCAAAACAACTGATGATGGCCTCGTCGTCCAGCGCGGCCGTGCGGTGGAAGCCTTCGCACGAGCAGGTTTTCCCACAGTGCAGCTTGAAGACACGAAGCGCGACAGTTTGTGCAGGCTTGAATAACAGCCTAGTTGTTACGGCCACTTGCATGTTTTTCGCACGTTGTGCTAACATGCAGGGCAAACAATGGGTTCAGCACATTCCTAAACTCAGATTGTGTCGAGATGAAAACACGACTTGCCACACGGCCCACGCAGGCACAAAAGCAACCGCAAAAAACAGCTACGTGAATTGGGCTGTGGTCGCGATTCGCCATGGCTCCCATTGCAGCCTTTATGTTTCCGATGGCCAGTGGTCACACGAATCCTTCGTTGCCGCTGGCGCGGCGGTTGGTCAATTTGGGTTGGACAGTGTATTTTTTAAGTTTTCCACCGTTCCGGAGGGCCGTGGAGGACAGCAATTGCCCCTTGCCATAAGATTTGCGTCGCAGATCCAAAAATTCAATCATGCCAGGACACAGGATCTACCTTTGTTGATTCCCGGAGATTTGTGACGCCATCCATGGACATTATCGGACTACACAGAACAGGCGCAGATCTCCAAAATATAGCTTCTGATTGCGGACTGATATGCCTTCAGGTTCCGATTGTGACAGTTTGGATGCCTTCGACCCGAATAAGTTCGGATTGGTCTTGCGGATGTGCAGTGCAACTTGGTCAACTTGGTTCGCTTTTCGTTCGAATTTGTTTCAGGGAAAGTGCAGGCATCCATGTTTGTGAGCCGGGGTTTGGTTTTTGTTTTTGATTCTTTCTCATGTCCGGACGTTTACTACAACCCACTCCACACCCCAGGAGCATGTATTCAAAAAGTCCGAACTGTTGTGACCTTTCCCTCATTTTCTCCGAGCAGGGTTGGCCATACGCAAAGCGCAGAATTAGCAAACCGAAAGGAAAATCCAGAGCAATTTTCAGGTAGATTTGTTGTTCCGTGTGCCGGTTTCTTTGCATGACCATGCCCGAGGCAATCTATGTGAGGCATGCTGTGCCAGCATTGTTGAAATACTTCGAGGAAATTTATCCGGACCTGGTGGTGTATTGCCCCCATCTTTGTGCATTTGCGCATCTGGCAGCACGACGCTTGAAGATTCGGAGCGTCAGCCTGCTGAGTCTCGACGTTTTCAAGCTTTTGTGTGCTTGTTTGGCTAATTCGACGTGAAATTGGAGGATGCTGAGCCGAGACGTGAGGTTGGTTAGCTAGGGCAAGAATAATTGCAAAATTGCTGCAGTTCTGGGTGTGGCTGACTGCAACAAAAATACCACGATGAACACAACAAGTATTACATCAAGCAGCCAAGTATTCGAACTGCGACTGCAATATCAACGACTGTACTGGTCCGGCTCCTGCTCCTGCTCGTGCTGTTGCTCTTCCTGCTCCTGCTCCTGCTCTTGCTCCTGCTGCTCCTAGTCCTGCGGCTGACGACGACGACGACGACGACTACGACGACTACGACGACGACGACGACGACTACTACTACTATTACTACTAGTATTACTACATATTTCTACGATGAATACTGCCATTCTTCCCAGTGTTACTGATACATACTTATACTATAACGAGTGCTACGACAAAGACGACGACCAAGACTAACACCACTACTTCCGGATCCACTTCCACTTCCATTTCTACTTCTACTGTTGCTTCTGCTTCGATTTTTGTTTTGGTAGTTTTTACAAGCATCATGACGACGGCGACCACAGCCAGCGCTACTGTTGGTATTTTGTGTTTGATTATCATTTACTTTGATTACTATAATTTTTATTGCTTCTACGCCACTGGTTTGAAGATGTCGGGGCTGTTCTGCACTCGACAATGCCGGCTTCTCCATGCTGAGGAAAACAAAAACATCGTGATAAACGATTAGTTTGTGGGGTTTCATAGAACGTGGGTAATTTTTTTCTTGTTGTGTCATGGCGGGTGAGGGTTCTTGGTGTCTTTATCTTCGATCGTGGGATGGTGTGACGAAACAACAAGCTAGCAAGGACCCTACCGGGACCCGGAAGCATGGAGACGATCGTGCAAACGGGAGGCTTGACTGGTGCTGAACTGTGCAAGTTGCTTGCCGAGAACTCCCCGCAGCTCGAGGCCATTGAAGCTTTGAAAAAAGATTTGGCGTTCCCGGATTTGACATTGAATACATCGCTGCCCCTGCATGGAGACCATTACTCGGATCTCAACCTCGTAACAACCACAGAAGATTTGGCGGATGAGTGGGAGGATGATGCTGCTACGTATGCTGCCCAGGGCTGCTTCGCGAAGTTTAGTATATTTTGTGGCCACACCGTGTTGTGATGTTGCAATTGCAAACGATTGCTTCCACACTGTGTTGACATCCAGGTAAGGCTTTTGCTTTCGTGGGCCCCTTGATAGATGTGGCTGGTGCAAAGCGATGTGCAGGTTTCAAGAAGGAGGCGCAGGTGCCAGACTGCAATTACTGTCGGAGCTGACGGTTCATAATGTTCTCAGTGCAGCGGCAAGTCAGATGGCAGAGGCTTTGCGGTTTGTCAGGAGGAGCTTCTGCCAAAGAGGCCGAGCATACAAGACACCGTCAAGAGCGAATTAGAAGAGGTGCAAATGTGTGCTTACACGAGTATCTATGTGCCAGTTTTGGTTTGGTTGCTTTGGCACACGCCCGTGCACGTACACTGTTATTACTGAACCGAAACGCAGCGACTCAATGTCTCAGTTCTTCTTGGTCAGTTTTGCCTTCGGAGTGTCGCATGAGGAACAACCTAAGCTGCATCGATGTTGCAGGGCAGTGGACGGAGAGTTTCCCATGGATGTGGTGGAAAGCGCGGTTGCAGCAGGTGGGAGTTGTCGAACAGGCTGCAGAGCGGATGCTTCAAGTGCATGGCATGATTCCGTGAAACATGTAAATTCGCGAGAGACGAGCCCTGATGCTATGATTGCCCTGGACTCAGTGTTATATCCTGTGTGTGTGTGTGACTGACCCAACAAGTTACCTGCCCCATTCCCTTCCAAAAGCTGTTGAAATGCATGCCCAGTCAGCGCAGGCCGTGGCATCGTGCTGGTTTCATTGGGCACTGTGATAACTGGTGACAGCAGCAACCACGGAACCTGGGCTTGTCGCGTTTAAGACCAGAGCTTTGAGGTTCGAGACGAACCAGTCCCGAGGATGGAAAGCCACGGACGGCAGCTCCATGACAGGGAAGCAACTGTGTCAAGCTGTGTTCAAGGCGGTGTTTGCGGAATTGGGAGATCCTGCAGAAGGCGATCCGTTTGTTGTCCCTCCTCACCCAACCGATCAACTTTATACAATCGTGAAGAGTGGACGCTCAAGAAACATTCGGCGTGCAGCCTTTGCCCAGCACGGAACCCCAAAGCCAGAGTCCTGGACACTGAGCCTCGAGTCTTGACCTAGTACCATCTCCCACGCTTCAAAGCGCCAGCTTCTGAACAGTCCAGTCAATGCTTAAAGCTTTGCAGGTGGGAGTCATGGCCTGCTTCTCGTCGTAGCAATCGGCCCGCAGGCAGATGCCTTGGAAGGCGTGCAGGCGGGGATGCATGGTTATCGGTGGGCACATGCACAACACAAACAAGACATCGACCAAAAATCACAATTGAACGTACCAATCCGGGTTCGCATTTTCTGGACTGAGCCCTCCGCTTGATGTCATCGGTGCGAGATTAAATTTAGTTTATCTTCTTCTTGTTTGCGTTTTCTGTTGTTCCCCAGGGAAGCTGCAACTCTGGCCAGAGTGAAATGCTTCTTTACAACCGCGTTATTCAAACTTTTGCCAACTCCCTGCATCCTGTTATTTACAGCACATGGTGCAAACCTTCCCCGCGTCCTGTTAAGATGCGGTTAGTTTTTATGCAACGCCGGCAGCCAGCAGCGGATGTCCAGGAGTCGGTGAGGAACCAGGGTGGGTCGAAGACTGTTTGCATTGGGCTCTGCAGCCGAGCAAGGGTGTGTGCAGGCGTTGCAGGAATCAAGCTCTCGGCTGCCGTTCTCAAGCGTTGCAGAGCTCCCGATTTGTGTGATAATCAGGTGCCTGGAAACGCCATCTGCCGCAACGTCTTGCCGCAAGTGGACATCCTTCGCTTCGCGGCTTAGTTGGCCTTGTGCGGCGGAGTCCGTGGACACAGGACAAGTTGAAGTCAGTAAGGATTGAAGCCCAGGGTTTTCGTCACCCATGGGGGCCAGAACTCCTTCATGGAAAGCATGTTCGTTGGAACTCCACTTGTGGTGTGCCCTGGTTTCGCTGATCAGCCAGCCAATGGTGCCAAAGCGCAGGCAATGAAGGTGGGCCTTTGCGTGGACAGGCCAGTCGGCTTCTTGCTGGGGGAATCACACGGCCGCATGGGACATCTCCCAGAAGCTTCCCGCCCAGAGATCTAAGCACCGGCATGAACCTGAGAGCCACTGTGGCAGCAGATTCTAGGTGGGCATGTGCCAAACTTTCGCTGTCGTCCTCAGGCCGGTGTCTGACGAGGGCGCTGCAACTTATGAGGAAGATGTCCGTGATGCCTTGCGTCAGGTTTCGGAGGCTCCGTCGAAATCTGTTGAACATTATTCGATTTTAGATCCCGGCCCCTTACCCGCTTTTCGTACATGATTAAGTGAGAGCAGCCCGCAACCCTGATCTGACAACGATATGATTAGCTTGGGGTGTGGACGTGTGTGGAGCCTTGCCTGCCTGTTGCGAAAGTGAGAAGACTAACATTGTTCCAAGGCTTTTCCTATGTCTGAGCGAGGAGGGAAGCATGCTTTGGTCGTTTGGTGGGCGAACCGATTCATTTGCAGGCTTCTGCAATGGTTCGCAAGCTGGAATTGCTTGGTTATTTGTTCTTACGTGGACTCGTCGGTGCTTTCTGCAGCGCACAGTGACACCGCGCGTACGATTATGGGCAACCGCCACACCTGAGACAAAGTTGGGGCTTCGGAAACCAAGCGTAGGCCGTGTAGGCGTCCTCCAGCAAGCCAGCAGCCAGCATCTTTGAGTCACCGACTTTGCAACATGGCAAACCACATTAGCAAAACACCAGAAATCAGGCAACGAGCTAAGACTCTGAGACTCTGCCTCGAAGGTGCCGGCTTTCAAGCACTCTGCCGACCGCGTGGCACAGGGTTTGCACCAAGCCGGTGGTGTTGACCGGGCCATCCAACTTCTCATTGAAGGTCGCAGCTGAGCGGCCTTGCACGCAGCTTGGGGAAACAAGTCGCTGTGGGGCCCCAGCCGGGAGGTGCATGAGGTACTCGTCGAAAAATTTCTCGGTTGAGAAAGCTGAAGTCAATCCACGAGTTTGGGACCCATCGAACCCCGAAGCTTGAAGTCGAGCGTGCTACCGTGCACAAGAAAAGGAACTACGTGTAAGCGGTTGAGGTTCAGGGCTCGGTGTGCCTAGGGCCTATCTTGTTGCTTGTTTGTGTGACTGTTTGCCCAACTGCCGGATGCTTGCGGGGCAGAAGTGTGTGACTGAAAGAGCAAAATGACAGCTTTCGTTCTCCTGGGTGTTCCGGAGAGTCCAAGGGTTTGTAGCTTGAGGCTGAAAGCCATCGCCTGAGGTCTCATTGCGATGGGTTGAGCCGTTTGCCATGGTTGTGGTTCGAGCAAAGACCCCGGCCTCAAACTTGTCTACTTTATACACTTTCCTTGGCAAGGTTTCCGCCACCTTCTAACATGGTTTCCAGGATTTGGGGAAGTCCGTGGCCATACTCAACCTATAGTATAGACCATGGGACCATTGAATCGTGACTTCGTCAAAACGAATCTTTCACGCCTTTCTCGCGCGAGCGTCGAGGTCCGCTACAGACAGGGGTCGAAGCCTGTGTGAGCGTGATCTTTGTGGCTCAAGGAGGCAAGTCTGCTGCTGGGGCCGATGCCATTCCATGCACCCCGGCATATCAATTTGTTTTGCAACTTTGAGCGGCTTTGGGAGGTGGTGGCGGCGGTGGTGGTGATGGTGGTGGTAAGAAGTTGTCCTAGTAGTCGTCGTCCTAGTAGTCATGGTAGGAGTCAGCAGCATGCGCATGCACAAGGCAAAAGGCGGAAGCCGCGTCATCTGATTGGCAGAAGCCCGCATGCATGATTTGAAAGTGGTTGCATAGAGGAGGATTGAAGTTACCCGAACAATTCGACTAAAGCGAAAACTCCGAACAATCTCTTGCGGCCCAAAGTCCTGAAGTACGTCCAGCTTGGTCCGAGTCGAATTGTGGAGGCAGCCGAGGCTGGCTCGGAGCCCAAGGCACCGAAAATCTCGAGGGTGCAGAGTCTTAGCCTTGCCAGCTTTGCAGACTCGTATTGTATATTGTTACATGTATGCTGGTGGTTGCCCGAGAGTTTGCACACGAGATGGTTTCTCGTGCAGAGAAGGTTTATGCAGTTAGAGGTCGATATCAGACTGGCCCGCTCTTCCACAGTAGCTTGATCGGTCGACATGCTGTTGTGAGTCGAAGCGTTCCAGGCTAGATATGTTGGGTTTTCACTGCCTTAACATGCTGCCTGTGCTTTTCAGTGGTTGTGGGCAGTTCCATATTTAGGCTGGTGCCGTGCAAGTTTGGGAGTACGAGACGACCCCCTAAGTTCAAAGGCATAGAGCTGGGAATGCCCCTGTGCAAAAACTTGCATCTTTTCCGAATAGGTAGCTTGCCGAGACGCTGGAGTTCAGTCGCGCGCGTCTCTGTGATCAGGGTTTCCCTGCAAGCTGCGAGTGCTCTCCGGAGTGCGTTGTCACAGACAAAACCGCAGCAAGCTGCTGGACACTGCATGAGAAACCTCCTCCTAGCTCCATCCATCTTTTCATCAAAGAGAACATGTTTCAGGCGGCCATCAGAGTTTTCGCGTTTATTCAAGCGCCCTTTTGCCGGTTGGGCTATGGCATTGCGTGCCCCCGACCTTGTCCGCAAAGTTTGAGCGGAGCAGTCTGGCTGTGTATAGGCCGACTAAGCCCCACAACCAGTTGAACTGTAGCAAAGCCTAAAACCCCGGAATCACTGTACAAGTACCTGGCAAGTCATTGTTGCCCCGGCACAAGATCCGGCTAATACCGTGAAGTTATCACGGGCTAGGTCTAGGATGTGGGTTTTCATGTTTCGGGCGAGGACTTCATGCGATGTAAGGCTTGAGATCCCAGGGTAAGGAACAAGCGACGGATATTGTCCACCAAGAGTTGCAGCCGCCGCAGCCAGACGGTTGCAACCTGACAACTGCATACTGGTTTTGCGCAGTAGCGCACCGGTGCAGCCCATAGCTCTCATGCACAGATTGTGCATTTGCAGGTGCAGAGTGCTAAAAAACCAACTGCTGCTCTCGGCAAATGACAGCACAGTTGTAGTAGATGCAAAAGAAGCCCTCTCCTTAGAAAGCCATAGCATTCCCTGCACCGGCCGTAGTCTTGCAAACGTACCATATCGCGGTGTTTTGCCTAGGTATGTCGTTCCGCATGGCTTCGGTGTTCGACGCAAGTATTTAGCTGCTGCTTTACTGCGCATTGTGAATATCTCGATCTCAAGGTGCTGAATGTTAAAAGAGCTCTTGCCTGTTCTTCCCAGGGCCCAAGGTGCTTTGACAGGAGGGACATCTCTAAGGCAGGTACTAGTAAGTCGAGTTTTGGGTTGCTTCCGGGAAGGCCTGGTCCCAGGCTTTCCACGACGGCCCGGCGTGTGAAGTCCTTGCGGTGCTGTCGCAGCTACGCTGGCGCAAGCCGTCGAGATAATGTTCGTATGGGGTGTGGTAAAGCCGCGCCTGTTGGCGAGCCGGGGTCAGGAGTCTCTGCCGTGCTGCTCATGCCTCAGTTGGCGCTGGTCCGATGTAGCAAGCTCTACACGTAAAGCTTGGAAGGGCAGGGCTTGGACATGCTCAGGTTGCCAAGTACTTTAACATCAAGCACTTGCTGAAATGGAGCAAGCATTGTCCGCCCTGCAGGCTTCACAGATTCTTGCAGGTATCGGTTTCGAGAGCTGACATGCTACTTGCATCTGTTGTAAAAGTCTCGCCGACTCTGACCCCCGGCCCTTCTGCGGCTCTCTGTATACCTGAAGGCACTGTTCAGTTCGCCAGATCCGGCCACCAAGAAGGAAGCTGACGATCCTTGCTTGCAGCTCCTCCAGGGGTTTTCTGGAATCCTTGAGGGCAGCTTTTTTTCAGGGCCCCGAACCCCCCTTCTTAGACCTGGAAGAACATCATTTTTTTTTGGCCTCGTGAAGTGAGCATCGTATGTGAGGCATCTGGGTGTGTAAAGCGCAGGGCATCTCTCACCATCCAGGCAAATGATGCGCATGGTCTCAAGATTGTCACCTCTTCTACATTGGACGTCGGAGGTCATCCGTGTCTGCTTATCTTCACTTCACCCCTAAACGACTTCTCAGCAGCCCTCTCTGTGATGAGCCTGATAAGCAATTTTCGAAAGGTTCTTTCTGTTGGTTGCATCCGGGTGAACCGAGCGAAGCCATGCGATTAGACTAGGTTCAAACCGAGCCATTCTGGGTGGTCGTTGTTAATCTTGCTGTTGTTGTCACCGCCCTCCCAGTCTGCCTTATGAAGTGAAGTCGCTTTCGTGGGATGCATCACTAAACATAAACACTGGCCTCAAACCTAAGTCGTCACTGTTTCCAGTTTGGTGTTGCCTGTGACTGACCAACTGCGGTCATGCGGGTCGTGGGGCCAAGTCATTCTAACTCCGCTTATCGACAGGTTGCCACCCCATGCCACCCCATGGAGGGCTGTGTGAGTTGCAATTCCTATCACGTGTGATATCGCCTGAAGTCATTCGACAAGTCCGCGCCGAGGCGTTTCTGACAAAGTTCCAGCAGACGCCTGTGGCATGGGAGGTTCTCGGCCTGATTGCCTGCACGGAGGATTATGTTCAGGATGAGAGTCTGTGTTCTGGTTTGCTGTTTAGGATTTGGGTTCATCCTCAAATAAATTCGAGGGCGGCTGTTTCCAGGGAGCGGGGCGGATATGATCTGCATCGGTTGCCATGGCTGCAGTAAGGGCAGGTGGCCGTCTGTACTGGTAGTGTTGCGCACTTGGACAAGTCGCGGTCCAGGTAGCATCGCTGTTTTGATGCTTACTGGGTGGCACACCTAGTAAGGTGATGGAGGTGGTGCCGCGTGAAAAGCAAAGCTAGGGAGTGCTGTGACATTCAGCCTCTGTCATGTAGAGGAGCTGTTCAGTAGGGCGAGCATCGTGAGAATCATCTGGTCGGGGTTGTGCAAATGCGCGTGCGAAGCATTCTTTGTGGCTGCTCCTTTAAATGTCCCTACCAGAGGTTGCGCTACGCACATGAGAGATTGGCCAAGAAAGTCGGTCACTTTTTATTCTCCTTTTCATGACGGCTGCTTGTCACTCACGGCACAATTTCTTTGCAATGACGGGAGAATGAATCGGATAATGCACG